ATAATATAAAACATCCACCAAACACCTAAACTCCAGTTTGAAAACTTAAATTTAATGCAAAATGAATGTTTTCGATTGCCTTAAGTAACCATCATCAAATTACAGAAATATTCTAAATAAGAACATAAATTTGAAACAGATGAATTTAAAAAGTTGGGATGACATCTAATTGGTTAAAATTAAAATAGAAATGGAACAACATATTTTTGAATGTTTTTAAATCCTATAAATATTTAAATTCATTTTTGAATTAAAAATGAATTTAAATATTTATAGGATTTAAAAACATTCAAAAATATGTTGTTCCATTAGAATGATTCAGTTCATAAACCACACCATCAACACCAGCAAAAATTTTGCTGGTTACTGTGTGATTTATTAACAAATTAAGCCAATATTTTGATGACTGATTCAGATCATTGAAAATGAGAAACCGAATTCTCGGAAAAATTTTGAATTAAAAGGAAAAGGGCTCCCTGCTTTGAGGTTTATTACATTTTACTATGTAGATTTCAATACATTTCAGTTTTTGATGAGACTGTCTTGCATATAAAATTGCACTGCTGTCAATGGCTGGACACATTAGAGTTGCTGAGGAGTTCATGTCAGGAGTTGCAATTTGGCACAGATTTGGTGCCCAAATCATACACACAAAAAAACCAGACTTGTAGGTAGTCAGGGGACTGAGAACCAAGTCAAAATAAAATACAAAATGGCAACACTGTTTCTACAAACAGATGCTAGAGCAAGATTTGCGCATGCGTTGCTTGCTGGGAATTTTGAAATCAAATTTCCACAAATGTGTGATACATGTAACGCATGTATTCTCTTGCTCTCATTGTTTTGCCATACCATAAAACAACGAGAGCATCCTCAGGACAATTCAGGTACGAATATCTTTCCACTTACCAAGAACATAGACCAAGAACAGGCCCACGACAATTCAACCAGTTGTAACCACGATGGAAACAAAGCCTGCCGTTAATCTATGCCAGGACCCTGAGTACTGGTGTCAGCTTTTCCTCATTGGTTAGTGCTCATTTTTTCTCTTTTCCTTAGAAAATGGTGCACAGTCAAGCCCTGAGTCTCCGAGACATACTTTCGTCCCAAAAATGGCCTTGCCAGTTTACTTGTTTATCATATTATTAAAAATCCCCATTTATGGAAACCAAGAGAATCTTTTTCATACCCATAGATGTGTAAATTAAACAGCTGGACAATTTTTGTAGGCATAATATTTAGTATCTTTTTAAAAATAGAGAATGTGCTAGCATAGTGAGAACTTGTTGCTCAGACTTGGTAAATCTAAATTCATGTTGTCACAGCAATATTTCAAACACAAACAAAATGGAGCAGATCAATAAAGAACAAAAAAGAATTGTAACTGGGAAATTTTATAAACATGAGGAAAGAGGGAGAAGCTTTACAGTTAAGCATTTTATGAACATGAGAATGGCAAGAAAGATGCTTTACAGCATAATAAAAAGGTTTGTCTGTTGCTGGATGTTCAGGAAATGAGCAAAAAATAATTAAAATGACAGATAACAAAAGAGTGTCATTGGAAAGAGGTAATTTGAAAAGTTGGAAGAAAGTTCAAAATATTTCATCAGTACTTTCTAGTAAAATATTGTTCTTTAAAAGTGAGCCAGAAAAAAAATCTCAAATAATTGCGAAATGTATTAAGAGGAGCTGATCCCATTCCCTGAGAAACATCATTCAGATCACCTATATGTTTTTTGGTAGATCTTGCAGCTGTGCATTATGCAAGAGAAAGTTTCTGTGCTAAAGTAATATGAAATCCGTTATGCCAGCAGAGAACAACATTGCAAATGTTTCTCAGCTTTATCCAATTGAACAATTCTGATACCAGCCAAAACAAAAAATATACAAAAGTGGGCAATATGCTGAAAATGAAGTGGAATTGAAACAGCACATCAAGTCAAATCTTGGCCAATTTAATTCAGAGCACTTTCAAACTCTGTTGGTCAGCCTCAAGACTAAAATCAGAAAAGCCGCCGACTACAAACCAGATTCCATAATTTAGAAACAGAAGAAACTAATTTTGTTAATTTTGTGTTCCTAAATAAACATATTATAAAAATAAATAAATTTGATTTTCGCTTACAGACCTTTACCGTGAGTTTGGCCAGACTCACAATGGACCACAAAGAACAGACCCAAAACACCAGGCAAGTATGCAACATACACCAATAAACAGATTAAACATCTGAGTTTCATCTACCGTCTGTGTACAAACATCTTTTTGCCTACTCTTCTAGGAAGTGTCGTAAACAAAAATGGAAACTCCACAACAGAGAAAGCATTTTGCATTCTGCAGTTCATCAAGTTGGAATCAGTCACCGTTGTGCAACATGATTCCGAACAATTTTTTGACTTTCAAGACAATTTCAAAGTGATAGGTCACTTATGACAACATACCGACAGGAGCATTTCCTTATGCACTGCACAATGATCAATTCCGACTTTATGCCCCACATAATATAAAACTCCCTCTCTGCTAGAACAGCTATTTTTGTTCACAGCACTTCCTAGAGGCCATAGACTACAAGACATTTGAATGCAACACAGTAAACAAAACTCAGACATTTACTCTACTGATTAGCATACAATGCCCATTTCTTGGGTAATAATCAACACAGTTAGCATTCTTTTTGAAAGACCTTGTACAGTAGACCCCCCCTATAAAACAGGTTCATATAATGCGGATTCGTATATACTGGCGAAAAAATTGAGACCGTATTCGTATACACACGCTAAAAGAAACTCATAAAATACAATAAAACGTCATCGCCGACTCGTGTCGCGACAGGATTGGTCGAATCTAGACCATCAGCGGATATTGCACAAACCGTTGAGTTTAAACGAACAGCGGACCTACTAAAAACTATTTATTATTTAATGTCCATAAAAATTATATTTATACTAGCTTACCTGTCGCGCATTGCTGCGATCTCAGAAGAAATGAAATTCAAGCAAACTCGTTATGATAAAATTAAATTTTCATTTTATCATTTTTATTGAAACTTATTATTATTATTCATTTTCATCGGAAAAACATTTCAAAGTGTTGTTTCAATTCTATTTATTTATTGGAGTGCTCGTGGATACACGATATTTTTTGTTTTTTCATCTGGTGCGTACACGAATAAATCGGAAGGTTTTTCGACGCGTGAGCCGGCCACATACAGTTGTCCACGCGAGAAGCACGGATTCTCCAAATTTAGCCCACACACTCGCAGCGATTGTCAGAAGTGCGATATTCCCCATTTTTATATATATTTTTTAATCCTTTATAATTTTAATTATTTAATTGCTCCTTCCTCTCTTCCTTGGCATGTTGTGAAATTTCTGATAGTTGGATAATAAACCGTTTTATTGTAATTTGTCTTTTTAAATTATTTTGAGTCGATATTAAAATTTGAAAAAGGGGGATACCTAGATCGGTAAAATAGGCGAATTTCTTCCTACAACTTCGGTCGTTGTTCGGGGTACAGTTAAGATTTTAACGAAGTTCGAGCGAATACATAATTAGCAAAAAAAGTCGAAATAAAGTGATTAAACAAAAATTATTATAAATATCGTAAATAACAGTTCACAAATGCATATATAGAGATATTTTTTGAAGGGGGGAAATGGTCTTCACAATTTAAAATCGATCGAACACACTGTGCGCGAATGCTCGTGTAAACGCGCGCCATCTATCGTAGGATAAATGTACTTCGCGGGAGTGTATTAAAAAATTAAAAAACTTTCCAAAGTTTCATGGCAATCGTACTATGCCACAAACCTTCGCCGGAGTATATTAAACAACTTCCCAAAGTTTCACGGCAATTGGATAAACAGTGTGGTAATGCATGAAGGACACACACACACACAGACACACATACATTCATTTTTATATATATAGATTAATGATGTCTCCAAAGTTCAGCAAATTTTTTGCAAAAAAAAAAAAATAATTTATCAGGAAGCATGCAAGTGCCATTCAATGACAAGCTCCACGACGAAAACAATGGTGTCGTTGAACGGTGCACACTCGGTAAGTAATCCTACAATTTTTTGTTTATAGCATAGTTTATATGGACTTTTCCCAAAAAATTATATATGTTTTGGAAATGTTGAGTCAAATTAGTCTAGAATTGATTAATTTTATGAAAGAAAACCTTTCAAACAGCCATAGTCCATAAACTGCTTACATGCCAGGCTGTGATTGGCTCATGTATTTAAGGACTCGTAGAACAATAATTTCATAAAGAACAGAATGTATCTACTATGTTATGGGGGGTCGACTGTAATTAATATATTATTATACATTTCTGTGTGCATATGTTTGTTATTTAACATATATTATTATACAAATTAATATAAAAATAATTTGAAATTAAAGTAAAATTTTTTAATTTTCGGTTGCATGTTTCCCTATCTCTATTTACTCTATGTTAAAATGACCTCATTTAACACTGTTTAGTTTAACGCTCATATATTTAAGGACTCGTAGAACATGAATTTCATAAAAAAGCGGAACGTATCTACCATGTTATAGGGAGGTCGACTGTATATACTGTATGTACTGTACAGTACTTTATATATGTGTGTATGCACGTGTGTACTTTAAGTAAAGACAAAGAAATAATACGTCTCGCTAAATGAATATAAACAAATCTAAAAAATATGTATTTTAATTTCTAACATACGACTAAAAACAATGTATAAAATCAATTAGCGAACTGACCATATTTAGATTGAAAATAACACTTAACAGAGATAAAAATACGCTTCAGAATATGAATTTTTACTATCCACTTTATATAACAGATTATTTTTGTGAAATGATTATTTTTTAAATTAATTACATCATTTAAATATCATTCTATTAAAACGTAATTTAAAATCTTAATAATTAAGATAATCTCGTAGAGGAGGTCTTCTGACCTCCCGCAAGACGTTTCTCTTCGATCAAAATAATAACGGTTTTATACCTGAATACGAGAAAGTGGAAGTACTCCATCGAAGTAATAGACCAAGTGCGATGCCAAAATACAACACATCGTCCACTTCGTACTTTTTAAATACCATGTTTGTTTACAATTATTACTGATATCGACTAATAATCGAGAAGACGCGCTTTCCCAAAATCACTACTGGAATGCCACCTACCTCGTTAATTTCTTTATAACATACCATAATGATAAGTTCTTTTTGATATTGATTGTTGATTATTAATGATTTTATATATATTAATAACAATAATTTAATTTTAAATTATCATAATAATATAGTGTTGAAAAAAGTTTTTTTACCCCTAAGGAAAACCTTCATCATTTTATGATGAGTCATCACCAGACTGAGTGCAATGTTATGCATGGGGTATGAGACAGTGGCGTAGCGTGGGTGTCAGCCGCCCGGGGCGGAGGAAAATTTCACTACCTCATTTAGGTATTTCAATTCAAAAGACTAAAATTCAGTTTTGTCACAGAACAAGCAATGAAAAATTCCGTGCTAGTGCAGCGACCTGTTTAAAATAGCTCTATCGGATAGTGGTGATGTATATGGATGCGAATGAATCGTATAAGAAAAATAGGGGGTAACGGGTTGCTCAGGATACCCTCGGATGAAATTACTAGTTCACCCGGACGGTGAGCCGATTCCCGGACTGTTCAGACGATAGCACTATCGTAGGCGCGACCCAAATATAGATTAGAATGGTTCAAATTTTTACAAGATATAATTATTACTTATTGTGAAATTTTGCCGCCCTCTAAAAAGTGCCGCCCCCACTACGCTACGCCACTGGTATGAGAATGGCCCAACCCAACTGCATATCGGGAGCGTTACGAAAGAGCACATAATCAGCAGAAATCCAGCCATTGTAAGATATTTATGGGCCTCTAAAGATTTGTAAGCTTTCATTTGTGAAAGAGTGTAGTAATTTGTAGTCATAACTAGTGTTGCCACCTTTTCAAAATCGCTGACCCGGACGGCAGGTGAGGTTTGTTCAAACAGAAGTTCCTGACGCATGCCCAATGTCATTTTGAAATGCGAAGAATAACGTGCAGTGCGTGCAGTTACAGTTAGGGACTTTTTTTTTTAACTCTTTCCGCCTTGTGGGCACTAAGAGAGCCTCTTTTTGCAAGCCCATTATGAGTTCGGCCAGGCCCACAATGGGGCTGCCGGGTGGTGAAGGACGGGGCCCGACATATCCGAACGGACCACCCCCGAAAAATTCCTGAGGATTTTTCGACCCGTTCGGATTCGAACCCGAGTCCCCCAGAGCAGTAGGCTGCCACCTTGATCGCTCGGCCATCCGGCCGCCTACAGTTAGAAACTAGGGAGACTTGGGTAGGAGTAACGTAAGTAACTAAATTAAGAAAAAACAGCTACAGATGACTTAGCTCTATTGGATATTGGAGACGTATATGAATACGAATCGTACAAACAAAAGAAAAAAAAGGTCGACAAGTTACGCACGATATTCCCGGACAAAATTAGTAGTTCACCCGGACAGTGAGTCGATTCCCGGACTGTCCGGATGAAAACCGGACGGGTGGTAACACTAGTCATAATCAAACAGTTTATGATGTCACCAAATTCTACTTTAAGCCACAATTGATGATCTACAACCACGGTGCTGGCTTCGTATGGATCGGCTTCGGAAAAATGCTGCCTTTCATATGGGTCGACACCCCTGACATAATTAAACTTTCTCTTCGTATAAAACAGCATCTCGTCTTGTTAGACTGAGAGAACAGCCCCAGAAAAGCATTTTTTAAAGTTTGTTTATGATATAAAAATACTGCAGTTCTATTAAGTTTAAATAGAAAAAAAGCGCTGCCAACCTGCCAAATAACAAACCGCAAGCAAGCGGAAGCTAAACCACAAACATGGCGAAGAGGCGTTTTATAACGTGTCATGTGACCTTGAAACCTCTATATAACCGAGGGAAAGTATGGCGATCGGTCAAAAAATTACTCCTCAAGAATTTTACATTTTTGGACTCGGGATCTTGAAACGCCGAGAAATGCAAAAAAATCGTTTTTTATTTAATGTATGTGTTACCGCTAAAGCTCGAAAGTCGTTAATGTGTACATTACCTAGCTAATATGCAGATTAACTAAGGTGATCCGTTAAAGTTGTGAAAATTGTTCCATTTCTCAAATTACCTAGATAATGTGCAGAATATCTAGGTAATCTGCAAATTATCTACTAGACACTCGGTAAAGTGAAAATAAGATCTTTGCCACAAATAAATGTACCACAAATAGGTGTGCTTGTCGCAAAAACCAATTGCTATGAAATTCAAAGTGTCACCAATCTTTAGACTGCACTAATAAGTAAGCATGATTGGTTAATGTTACCTATGGTGAGTAAAATGGCGGCTCGTCTCTGATTCCAGCAAACAGAAGAAAGGAAACAGTGGGGACGCACGTTCTAACCTAACCTAACCTATTCTAATAAATTACCGTAATTATTACCAACCAAATTATTAGAATAGGTTAGATTAGGTTTGAACGTGCGTCCCCACTGTTTCCTTTCTTCTGTTTGCTGGAATCAGAGACGAGCCGCCATTTTACTCACCATAGGTAACATTAACTGCACAATTATATCATGCGATCACCAGAAAAAGTATGATAACTTTATTATTTTTCGTCTCTGATCCAAAAGTGTAGGGAATCGTTGAAGTCGTCTCGGTCCCCTCAGTTCAGATAGATACTCAAAGTTCCGAAATTCCATAGGTGGTTATCTATATCAGTGTTTTTCAACCTGTGGGTCGCAGGTAAAAGAAAAAGACAAGTGTTTGTAAGTCCTACACTACAATAAATAAAACTACAATTTCAGTGAGAAGGCCCTTTGCGTTTTTTATTTTAAAGTACAATTGGTTTTTCGATCGATATTTAGGTCTCAACAGAAAGAAAATTAAATACGTAGTTTTTTAAATCACTAATATAGTTTTAAACACGGATAAGCAAACCAATGACGTAGTCCGTTTCAGGAAAGACGGCTACGTCACTGGATGGCTTATCCATATACATTAAACGATTTAACAACAATTTTAGTGTTGCCAGATGCGCCCAAAAAATAAAAATTCAATTAAATCTGGCAACACTAATAGCATTCATAAGTCGTCTGTGTCGTTTAATTTTTAAATGGTATATAAATAGACATTTTTTAAAATTAATTTTATTGCCGAATCGATATATATTATATGATATCGTTAAGTACAAAGTACAGGAAATCATATAAATTCCAGTTTTTGCAAGGTCAAAAGATGTTTGATTAAAAAATATCAAAAATTTCCAACGTACAACAGCTGATGTTTGTAAACATTAGGCTTATTTTCGTATAAATCAGAGGGAACTTGAATGAGATAGTGGCAAAAATGGCAAGGAACGAAGAAAAACAATATTCGAGATTAAATCGATTGTTGTTACAACAAGAAAGAGAAGGTTAATACTAAAGTTCTTATTATTATATACACACTTTCATTATACATATAATTTATTCGTTTACGTATTTTTAGAATATAGAAAAAGGAACCCAAAAAGACCAAGACTCGTAAGTTGGAAAAAAAATAGAAGTTATTATTGTATAAATTATGTTAAAAAATGCGTTTTCTTGTTTTTAACAGAATTGGAACTTATTTTTTACACAGAATCAAAAATTAATGTATTAACAAGCCATCGGGGCTCAATTCAAGCTCTAAGTGATACGTTTGGGATCTTATCAGAGCTGTAGAACATACCTACAGGAGCAAAAATGTGTAAGTAACCATACCTCTATGAGTGACCCTTTGCCAGATGCGGTCCCCCAAAATTGGGTTGTGCCAGATCGTGAGTTGTGTCGCTCTTCTAAGACTGTCATGTTTAACTATTTAGTCCACGCAACTATGCCTGCTTCAAGTAACCCACTTGACTGCTTGTTGAGTACTTGATATTATGTAGTTTTAGGCAGTGGTGGAGATCACCCCCAACCAGGTGCTGAGGTGTGAGTGATGGCCAGCACAAAAGCTCACAACTACACGTGCATCATGGATAATAGGCAGTTTACTGATATGTGTTAAAAATGACCTTTGGAGGTGAATATCTTGCAAAGGGTCACATGTACACGTATGATTCCTTTCACTTTTTTGCTTGTACAGGGAGGTCTATGATTCGGGGGTAAAAAAAAAAAAACTCTCATTTGGAACTTAAACCTTACTGCGATTGGCATATTGTAGAAGGTACTTAAACCAGTTTTCTTCAGACAACAGTCTGGTTGGCTGCTAAAGTGGTCTTAAAATGGCCAGACGAGCAAACTGGTTTTGTCTGAAGTGGACTATGTTGTCGATTTGCTTATCTGGCTGTGTTAAAGTTGCTTTACTGGGTAACGTGCCCGATAACTTAAAAGTTTTTGTGCATCATTTTTTTTAAAACTGGTTACGAGCTCTAGGCTTAAAACAATTGTTTTATCGACTTTTTACTTTTACATCTTTTGTAACAAAATGCATAATGAGTACCTTTGATCTTTTCTCTGATCTGTGCTATTAATTGTTATTTATGTTCATTTACTAAGTTATCATCTGTCTTTTCCAAATTGATTAATCAAATTCATCTCTGAATATCTGATTAAATATTTTCAAAGCACTCTATATTCATCTTCAAAAAGTTTTTATTTTTGATAAATTGTTTGAAACAAACCAATACTTTTGAATTTCTTGACAAACAGATAAATAAATCAAATGACTGTTTATTTCAATACTTTTTTATAAAGCAAAAGATTTTTGATCAAAATCTGACAATCTTCAGCATGGAACTGTTTAGAATGAAGAACATCATTTTAAACCATTTTGTTTAAATAAAAAAAAATACTGGCTTCTTTTATGTATGTATTTGTAAAGATAGTGCCAAGTTTTGTGACCTTTTATGATTTAAACAGTTTAAATGATTAACTTTTTGGAAAATTCCATATTCAGAAAAGTTTATTTCAAACTCAGAAAGTCATTTAATACTTTTAAATTTAATTTCAAGAACAGTTCAGTTTGTTTCAAGAAGTTTTTGAATTTTCTGAAAGAATTTATTTAAAATCTAAAAGATTTAAGTTTTGAAAACATATGCTATTTAAAACTGATTTCTTCAATAGTAGGCTTATGATTTTATTATTTTAGTAATTACCAGCTATTGAGTTGCTCCATACTTTAACTTTTTTAATTACATAATATTTAATCAGCAAAATTAGCTGTTTTTTAATTTGTTATATTTAATCATCTTTGAAAGAAGTAAATAAGTGAAAACAAAAATGATTAAATCCAGATATAAATTGAATTTTTTACTTGATGATTTTATTTATTAGACTTTAAAATATGTTTATTTTTGTTTAGTACTATAAACCCAATATGCTTTTGTATTTTAAATCTGCCAAATATAATGAATAATGCTGAAATTACCATGACATGTTATTAGTTTATGTTTAGAATGTTTCAAATAAAAATGAATTATCAATCAATCAAATATTTTTATTTGCATTAAGGCTAAGCCTTGTTACATGGGGTATTTTCCAATAATATATTATTATACATTTGTTAATTTTTATTGTTTGATATACATCACACTAACATTACAATAATCGTTTAGTATTACATTATAACATTACAATAATCGTTTAGTATTAACTTTTATCATTATTTTCCTTTTTAAATATTTTACTTCAAGTAACATAATTAGTAAAAACAATTTTTTTAAAAATTTTATTAATTTATTACATATTTTTTAGTTCTCTGGCAATTTGATTAAAAAAACCCATTAATTTTATACATTTGATTTAACGTAAGATTGTTTAATTTAGTTCTAAAGTCTTGATTTTACTTCGTAGATATTACTTCTATAATTTCATATTTTTTATGATATTTCTTTAGTCCTTCACAGTCTCTTAGTATATGGATCAGAGAATAGTCATTTGATTTACACCAATAACATCTGTCCTTAGTAAAATCTAAATAAGTATTATTGATAAACAATGAATATTTATTCAGTCTTAATTGAATTAATAATCTTTTTATATTCATATTTATATTAGCTGTTATGATGTTCGAAGTACAGTAATACCCCGAACTTACGCGATAGGTGGGACCGAGCGATAACCGCGTAAGTCGAATTCGCGTAAGTCAGGGTATAATTTCGCAATGTGTGTAAAATCCAAGTCGGATGTATGTAAGCTAATAAATGCTCTCGTTAATCTTATCTCGTCTTTTGATTCGTTTACGGTTACAAGAAATCACCACATAGAGTCTCTCAAGTCTCCGTAGATATAACAAACACAGAAATAAATAACACAAAATAAATTGGAGCTATGTGTCGATTCTGCGCGACACGTCCGAATATGTAAGCTAAACAATAGTGTGGGGGGAGTGAGTAATCAAGAGTTGCGTGGCGCTCAAACAAAAGACGAATCGACGAGATTTGAAAATCACATAACTCCGGGTTCATGTAAGTCGGGGTAGCATAAGTCGAGGTATTACTGTATTTCATTTAGTAAATCTATCTGGTCAGGCGGAACGTAAACCAACACCATAATAATTAACTTTTTGTATAAATGTTTCATATCAGTATTATCAATTTGTAATAAGATTAGAATATAATTAGTTGCTTTTTGTATAAATTTTACGGAACCAATGTTTTTTCTTAATATTAGACAAAGTCCTCCATATGGTCTCCCTGGTCCTATTGGTTTCTGTGCGTCAGAAAATATAATTGTATATTCCATTCTATTTTTTATAATTTCATTAACTGGTGTGACTAGCCAGGTTTCAGTTATACCCAAGATATCAGTATTATATAGTAATTGAGAGAAATCTTGAGTTTTTATTTTGTGGATTAAGCCTTGGCAGTTCCAGTTTGTGATATTTAAGTTAAGA